ACAAAAAACCCCACATAAAGAGATGGCTTACACGACGTTTCTCGATTACCATTTACAAAGCCCAGCGTGATTTTGTAAAACCGATGATCGACAAGCTGAGAGTGTTGCCATCCAGTTTCTTTGAAGTTTAAAATGCAACATTATACTGTTCTTCTCTGAGAGAAGAAAAGTCCCAATGGTGCTAACTCTCCCACCCCCTGGCAGACTTTTTAGGAAAGAAATGAAGGGCATGCATGGAGTCCCTGAGAAATACGACCAGAATTATTGCCAATTTCAATGTCACATCAGTGGGTTTGGCTATATCAACACCGTCAACCCGCAAGAACAGGAGCCGGGTCAGTAGAATATTTACCACTCAGTATTCGTACTTTTTTTCCAGACTCACTCATAGAGGAACAGAAGGTGATGGTGAGACATAATCTTCGCCAGCAAGTGCGTTTAATCGTCACGAGATGACAACGGCGAGCACTCGAACGCATTCTGTTTAAAATCAAGGAGTTCTCTCTGTGGTTCCTATTGTACCTGTACTCCCAAGCAGCGCATTTCAAACGTACAGCACGAGAAACAAGCAGGAGACCACCAAGGCACTCATTCTGAGAATGGCCTGCCCGAAGTTTGGTGTATAGAATGAAAGCTGCCGGTTTTAAAAGGAGGACGAGAAGAGTTAAAAGCCATCATCTATTGGGACGAAGAAGGAACCTCTTTACAAACAGTCAGGTGGTGATTAAAGGTTCCAATTGTCCCGATTAATATTGGCCAGCCGTGGGGTGCGGAAGAGTGGCGGAATATGAAGGGGAAGTAAGAAGAATGGGAAATGATCACTGTCATGTAAGTCCGAGAACAGACCATGTGAAGTCTAATGCGGTGGAGGAAGAGCAAACCTGAGAGATCGAATGCAAGAGATAGTATGAGTCCGAAGGATCAAAAATTGTGGAGTACCTGTATTTTAAAACATGGAAGGGGTGGGTGCAAGAAAACCTCAAAATGAATTCCACGGGAATCCACTGTGAGAAACCCCCCCAAGGAAATGGTTGGGCATAAATCACCAAGTAACAGAATCGGTGGCGGTAATGACGAAACAGGAAGGCAAAATCGGAATAGAAAATGCCCTGAAAGGAAGATATATAAAGAACATAGCGTATACCACATATGTAAAGTGGATACGGGCTGCTGTTAATGCAGCGAAGTATGAACAAATAGTTCTGATGGTAACGGTTAATAATCAGAGCCGGAGAAGAAGGGCACTTTCATTAAAAGGTCCCATCAGGAAAAGGACTCTGAAGAATAACAATAAGATTATAGCCTAGAATGTGAGAAAAAACAGCATATTGAAATTTTGGTTCCTGTAAGCAAACACACCAACAGGGGCAAACTGGGTGAGTAAAATCTGAACTCACCCCGATTACCCTTGAGGCCGCGTATATTCCCACTTAAAAGGCCATGAATGGCAATGATAAATAAACTTGAAATCCCAGGTAAGGTTCCTACGTACGTCTAAGGGTTTAGTAAAAGTCCACATTCAGAGGCCAGTGGAAAAATGTTCAAGCAGCGAAGGAAGGTGCGCTGTGAAGAAAGGAGTGCCGCAGATGAGCAAGGAGAAGAAAGAGCGGAAGTTGGATCAGTGTCCATTGATGGTTTGGTCCGCTCAGCATATATACAGAGATTGCTTAATTGTTCGGAATTCAGAGATTTCGTATGTATACATATTGGGAATGGTAAGGGGGAGGATGGAGTAAAGATTGGAACTGTATTGGACTGTACCAGGTCGGGGGGGTCGAAAGGGTGAGGGAACTGTGAGAAGCGGGCATGGGACTGAAGAGACAGAACCCTGTGATGAGGCGAGAAGAAGGAAGGAACTTGGGAGGGAAAAGGGGAGGAAGGTACAATTAGCTAGAGAGGGTGAACCTCTGCACTTGTAACTGAGTCCAGTGAGAGGGAAGAACTAGGGACAGAGACAGGAGTGTAAAATGAGGAGGTTGGAAGATGGGTGTAGGAGGTGTTACCGGACCTTTATTTGAATTTTTGAGAATTAGCGGGCCGATTAGGTAAGAGGTGTCCGTACGAGGTCTCGTCGAACACTGAGCTAGTAAGAGAAAACTCGAAGAAGCTAGATTAGACTGAGGCTTTGAAGTAGGGACTTCTGAGCGAGGACAGCAAAAGTAAATTAGATACGGAGTGATTATGGGAGATGTAACCACAGAGGTGGGTTAGAAGATGGGAACCAGAAAGTGGGGGGACGTTTTGAAACACGGTAATAATAAACACGTGGGAGTCTCCTTGGATGTCGGAGATGAGAAACTGCCATGGCATAAGGGAACCCTCTGTCCTCTTTGAGGTAACGGATTCCTCCCGCTCGTTTAAATAGACCTGCCACGGCGAGAGAAGAAGGTGACCTCATTACATGCGATCTCTATTTTTTTTTGTTTTCTAGCGTGGGCAAGAAGGAGGATCGATTGCAAGACGTATTAGAATGGTCAAAATTCGCACCACAGACTGGGCATTCGGCGATAGATCAGCAATATTTCGCTGGATGGCACAAATCGCCAGCAATTTCTACACTGTTGTGGTGTAGGTAAACTCTTCGAACTTGTAACCGATGTCCTGTCTATATAAACTGAGGAATGGGATTCCCGCTTCAAAAGTTAAACGACCACAATTGCTAGGGAATCGTCTCCGCCCACGTGCAGGAAGACCGTAAGTGGGCTACCTTGAGGATTGTGAAGAAACTTGGATTTCCAGCTGTTCTAGAATTGCGTGCACTATGACTGTAAATTTTGATTGAAAGACTATGGGTAAATGGGCAGAATGAAGTAACCTACTACAAGAATGAGGAATGATGTTTTTCAAGTGTGACAGGAATCATTACTATTATGGGAAAGACGAGAGAGCTCACGATCCTGGTAGGCATCTGTACGTGAATTATGCGCTGACCCGCTCTTAAGAGCAATAAAAGAAATAAACTAACCCAACATTTCGTAGACGTAGCCTAGCCAAAACTATGGTCAAGAAAGTGAAAGGCAGTAGATGAAGAATTTCTTAAAGTAAGAATTTAGTCTCACTTTACAGACAGAACCTCGCTTGGCCATGCAGTAAAGGACGTTCGATCGTTTTCGTGAGCATAATGATAGATGAGAAGTTGTATAATTATCAATCAGCAGTTAATAGTCGTTGACGTTTTAGCGTGGGACCATATATGTCCACGCGTGGAACGTTGTCGGCGATATGAAAATTGCCGAAACACCGTAGAGGATAGGTCCGAAGCATATTCAGAGGAGAGGCGAAGGACTGATAAAAACTCGTCAGGAGTCATTCGAGCCCTCATTACCTGAAGCGGGTAGGAAACAGCACCGGCAAAAGGTACAGAGGCATAGAGGTAAATGTCTGAAGAGTGGTCCAAAACGAGGCGTGGTCAGAACGGGGTGCGGTATCAAGAAGGGGCCCGGGGGTACCAGTTTCATGACAAGGGCTGCCATGGTTAGGTTACTTCTTTCTTTTGTTTTTTAAGAAAAAAAAAGAAAGAGAAAAGAAAAAAAAATAAAAAAAAAGAAAAAAAAAATGGGGACCTGAGGGATAGTTCCTAGGATGAATGAAATTGCCAGAAAATCTCCTCCACGCCCAAGGGATACCCTCAGCACCCAAGTAGCTTCCGATGCAAGCATGTAACCCCGTCCATACCCTATACCCATCATGCTAGTAAACTAACAATCCGGATAGCAGAACCACACATCTGCCGAGCTAAACCACGGTGGACAAAATAGAGGCGGGGCGTCCGATATCCGCCACAAAGCATACCTTCTCCTTCGGCCACCACCCCCCCGGAAATCCGAAAGGTGGCTTCCCAGAGATACACTCGTCGCCCTCCGAAAGACACCCAAAGCTACTCGGGATACCCGGAGAGGGAATCTTGGGGTCCAATCCCAGGCTATCCAGATTTCCGGATCCACGCACACTACGCATCCGCTAAGAACCTCAACGAATGGATGACCCCGGTTATCCTTCTCCTACCCAGGAACTAGCGCGCCCTGTGGGAGAAATCCAAAGGACAAAAAGAGGAAGGGCAAAAGGGAGGAGTGGGGAGGAGGAGGAGGAAAGGAAAAAGGGGAGGATGGGGAGGATGGGATAGGGGAGGGGAGATTGGGGGGTAATTAGGTTCGGTCTGAGGAAGAAGACCGATAGGTCTAATTCCTCAGACCAAGAGCCTCTTCACCACGCCAAGGAGCCCCCCTTGAAGAGGTATATAATGGTACAAATAGCTGTAATAGTAGTAGTAGTGGTGGTAGTGGCAGCAGCAGTAGTAACAGCAGCAGTGGACCGAAACATCGTCAGAGGTAAATAGCAGTTATAGCAGTGAGATCAGTGTCAGCCCAGCACACAGCTTGGCAATTCTCTATCTCGCCTGTGGAACAAGCGCTACTTTATTCTTTCCTTGAATCAAACGTGAATGCTTCCCGCCCTCCATTAAGATATTTGGTTACATAATGATGCTTTCTCTAATATGATTTTGGCGAATGTCTCAATATAACAGAAGATGGTTTGCGAATTATATACTTCGATTTGTTTTTAGTTGCATAGATAATGATTTAAGTTATATGGTAGATTAGGTAAGGTTTGCCAGGAAACAGAAGAAGTGTTCCCTGAAGCGGGTCTTAGTCATATGATGACCCGCAGCTGGAGCTTTTGGTCATCTGACCGAGGCCTTCCTCTGGCTTACCTCTCCACCCCTTTAAAAATTTTGGCTATAATTATGACCATTAGAGGCAGCAAACTCATAACAAATTGGTAATGCTAGAAGCTAAATAATTTCAGCAGAATATTCATAGGTTAATAAGCAAAAGATTCTTGTGTAATTTAATCTTGTAAATCTTCGTTATTATGCTACTTTGATATCTCTGTTTATTTTAATGATACTGCAGAGATAACATGACTGATTTTTGTTAAATCAATTACGTATTATTCTTCATTGTTTATTACTTCTGTCAGTCTTATGTTTTGTCTCCCAACTCCTGCAGGATACTGTTGCCTCTACAGTCATGTTCCTCTGTAATCTTTTTTGACTACCTCTCGCAGGGTGGAAATGAAGTGTATTATGAAACTAAAACCAACTCTACACTCGTATTTATTTATTGCCAAGAGCGCTGGATGACCTGTTGGTCACAGGCTTTACTAATCTCGCCTCCCTACCTACTTTTCTCAAAGAACGTCCTTGTAGCATTTTTCTCTATCTTTCGATACCTTTTTAATGCCTCTCATGTGTATATCTCCGGCAGGTGTGGTGCGTGGAGGTTGGGTCCGAGGTGACCTCCGTCAGTATGGTGGGGAGGGAGGTAGTGGTAGGAACCATCAAGTCAGAGATGTTTATGCTGCAACTCCCTCTACCCACAACCACCGTCCCAAACCAGCGTCCTAGGAACTTGGGCTCTAACCCTCGCCCTTCTAGAGCAACCACCACCAGCTCTCTCCCGTCTAACCTCAGCGCCAACAATACACACACTAATAAGCTCACACCTTCCAAACTCAACACTCAGAAAAAGAATAATGGAGCCTCGATCAAGTCAAACAACGAATTACAGAGCAGCAAACAACCATTTAGAAATACTAACAAAATACACTCACAGGCTTCGAGAGGGGACCAGGAGCTGACAGTATTTGACTCGACACCTCCAGAGGTTCACCTGCTCTCCACTTGTCACTCTGAACCTGTCTACGACGTTACATTTCCCAGGTAAATTTTAGAAACTTTATCCACTGTCTGTCAGTGGAACTGTAACATTAGTTAGTCACACAGTCTCCTTCATACACTTTACAACAAGCAGTGATAAATTATTTCAAAGCAATAATTTATCACTGCTTTCCCGTTAAGACTCGTTGATTAACCTGCAGATGGCTATTTAAGCAATTGTCAGCAACTGTCAGCATACAAACCCGGCTTTTTGATTCGGTATTATTTTTTTAATTCTGCCAAAACAATTGAATACTTTTATTTTCGGTTTTGTTGTTCTTCGACAATCGTTTTGCTAGTTATCATTTTGCTTAGGAATTCGTTATTGTTCTGTCAAAAAATCGGAACACATTAACAGAATTACTGTGAATGTTGATCCGCCGCTGCCTCGTGTGTACTCACCGATTTGTGCCTGCAGGGGTTGAGACTTAACGCCTGGCCCTGCCTCCTGAACCACTTTGATCAGCATCACTGACTTCTGGCCACTTGGGCCTAATCATATCTACTCTACAAGCTGTGTATTGAATTGTCTCAACCATTGCCTCGTCCAAGTCATTCCACTTTTCAACCATCCTGAGACTAAAATGCTTCCATACATCCCTATTACTCATCTGTGTCTTCAGCTTTGTGTGTGCCGGCACCCTTGATCCTGGTCCCATTAACTCAAATATCTGTCCCTGTCAGCCCTATCAGTTCTTCTTAAGCTTTTGCATGCAATAATAATGTCCTTCACCTTCCTTGTCCTTCTCTAAAGTCGTCAGGTTCAGCTGCTTCAACCTCTCCTTACAGCGTATTTCTTTAACTTTCTGGTACTAGACTGTTAGCAAACCATTGGATCTTTTCCAGTTTCTTCACGTGTTTGACTCCTCAAAGGAGGATCCTTTACGCTGGTGAGGGGCTCTTGATCTAGGGAATTGGATCTGTGCTCCGATTCCCTGAATTGAGCCTGAATACCTTTCATCAACCCCCCCCCCCATGCGCTGTATAATCCTACGGGTTAAGCGCTCCCCCATGATTATAATAATCACGTGTTTGACTGTGGGCTCAATGCTGGGGCCGCGGACCCAGTGATTGGTTTAACATGTGCCACGTAAAAGATTTTGAAGGATTCTTTATTCAGGTTCCTTTATACTATTCTGAAGTTTGCTAATCTTGCACATGTTGCTGCCATTATGCGATTTATGTGCAATTCTGGTGACATGTTTGGTGTTATATTCACCCCCAGGCCCTTTTCACTCTTGATATTTGCAGGTTCTCTCCACATATGCTGTACTGTGTCCAGTATGCCCTCTTCTTCAAAACACTTGAGCTTGCATTTGCTTGGGTTGAGAAGATACTTGTTTGATAACTTCTACAGACCGTTGAGATCTCTTTGGAATTTATTCGTGTGTGTTCTCACCTATATGTGGTTGCAGGGGTCGAGTCCCATAAATTGCATGAAATATTTATCTAGTTTTGTAACAGTAGATGTTATGAGAATACATGTGTGTACTCACCTAGGTGTAGTTGCATGGGTCGAGTTACAGCTCCTGGCCCCGCCTCTTCACTGTCGCTACTAGGTCACTCACTGCTCCATGAGCTTCATCATACATCTTCTTAAAGCTATGTATGAATCCTGCCTCCACTACACCACTTTCCAGACTATTCCACTTCCTTACAACTCTGTGACTGAAGAAATACTTCCTAACATCCCCGTGACTCGTCTAAATCTTCACCTTTCAATTGTGACCCCTTGCCCCTTGTTTATGTGTCCCATCTCTAGAACATCCCGTCTCTGTCCACCTTTTCGATTCCTCTCAGTATTTTATATGTCGTTATCATATCCTCCCTATCTCTCCTGTATTCCAGTGTCATCAGGTAGACTTCCCTTAACCTCTCCTCGTAGGACACTCCCCTTAGCTCCGGGACTAGTCATGTTGCAAACCTTTGCACTTTCTCTAATTTCCGTACATGTTTGGCTAGGTGTGGGTTCCAGACTGATGGTGCATACTCCAATATAGGTCTGACGTACAGTGTACAAGGTCCTGAACGATTCCTTACTGAGATGTCGGAATGCTATTCTTAGGTTTGTTAGGCGCCCATATGCTGCAGCAGTTATTTGGTTGATATGCGCCTCAAGAGATGTGCTCAGTATTATACTCACCCCAAAATCCTTTTGCTTGATTGAGGTTCGTAATGCCTGGCCCTCTAGACTGTACTCTGTCTGCCGTCTTCTTTGCCCTTCCCCAGTCTTCAAGACTTTGCACTTGCTGGTGTTGAACTCCGAGACAGTTTCTGGACCAAGCCTGCAGCCTGCCCAGATCCCTTTGTAGTCCTGCCTGATCCTCCTCCAATTGAATTCTCCTCATTAACTTAACATCGTCTGCAAACAGGACACTTCTGAGTCTGTTCCTTCTGTCATGTCTTCACATGTACCAAAAATAACACCGGTTCTTGGACTGACCCCTGAGGAACCTTGCTCGTTACAGGCGCCCACTGTGACGCCTCATCACGTACCATGACTCGCTGCTGTCTTCTCGTCAGGTATTCTCTGATCCATTGCAGTGCATTCCCTGTTATACCTGCCTGGTCCTCCAACTTTTGCACAAATGTCTTGTGTGGTACTGTGTCAAAAGCCTTCTTACAGTCCAAGAAAATGCAGTCCACCCACTCCACTCTTGTCTTACCGATGTCACCCTGTCATAGAACTCCAGTAGGTTTGGGACACAGGATTTCCCGTCCCTGAAACCGTGCTGGTTGTCGTTGATAAGCTTGTTCCTTTCTAGGTGCTGCACCACTCTTCTGATAATCTTCTCCGTAACTTTGCATACCACACATGTCAGTGACACTGGTCTGTAGTTTAATGTTTCGTGTCTGTTTCCATTTAAAAAAAAATGGGACTGCATTTGCTGTCTTCCATACCTCAGGTAGTGGCTCTGTTTCGATAGATGTGTTGAAGATTGTTGTTAATAGTACACAGAGCGCTTCTTCTCCCTTTCTTAGGACCCATGGAGAGATGTTATCCGGCCCCATCACCTTTGAGGTATCTAGCTCACTTAGCAGCCTCTTCCCTACCTACCTTCGTAGTGAACCAGGTACCTCGGTTAGTGACGATCATGTCTCTGTATTTCTCTACACATGCAGTAAGAGCAGACATTGTCAAGTGTGTTCTTGATAAAGCCTCGTGTAGATGAACTGTCGTATTTACTAAAAGGTCTACTTTTTCTGTATTTTCTTTTCCTACCAACCCCAGGTACTTTCCACTAACAAACTTCTTACCCAACCTCAAAGTTCTTGTATATATATCAAGGCTTCTTCTGTAGGCTTTCACATTGCTTCCAGTGTAGGGAGATGGATTGTTTACCACTTAATGAGTTTATTACATAGCTCATAGACACAAATTTGCACAAAGTGATGCTCACTATATATAGAAAGCTAGTGCAAATCAGCTGACTTTAGTCACGTGACTGTCAAATCTCACTGATTTATTTCGGTCACTTAAATTGCCTGAAATATTTCTCTAGTTTTGTAAAAGTAGTTGGTATGAGAATATATATTAGTGACTGTTGGCTGTTTTGGGATTCCATAATTGTCCCAATGAAGGCTAATGCAATCAATGGTTGTCAAGGGCTTTCTTGTACCTAGAAATTAGTTTTAAGTTATATGTTGCTCCATAGTTTTCATTTGAGAAAGGGAACACCTCGAGGAGGCGGGGGGTAGGGGTAATTTTTTTCAGTATATTGAAGGTCAAATTTTGATTTAGGGGATGTCGCCCCTTTGAGGGAGGAAGCAGTTTTTTTGGTTACGTTTTATAATAAATTAAATATACACGCACGTCCTAACAAGGTGGAGCTGGTGGTATGATGCTCCCGTCCCCCCACATCCTGTTGACAGGTGGGTGTGTGGGGATGGGTGAGGTCTTTCACATCCACCTCTTGACATTGTGGGTGTGGGGGGAAGGAGTCCCCCATATCCACCTCCTGATAAGGCTGGTGTGGGGGACTGAATTCCCCACACCCACCTAGCAGAACGCGTTTGTCTCGCCACACTATCGCAGTAAATAATTCATTATACTATAATATAATACTAGGATAAACTAAAGTATTGGTGTTTCAGAGGCGTAGGCGAGCTGGTGGTGAGTGCGGGCGTGGGAGGTGTGCGTGTGTGGAATGTCAGATCCCTGCAGGAGGTGCTGAGGGTGGAGCTGCCGGGGCTTGTCTGCTGCTGCTGCTCTGTCACCCCCACACTACATACAATTATCACAGGTACTTCACACTCACGCCGCGCATCATGAACACTCCTCCATGCAACTCTGAGATTAGATGTGATCATGGCATAATTATACCACTTTCACTTAAGACATATTATGACGCTTAAGGTTATACCACTTATCTTCACGGCATTTATACATGTCACTTGCACTTCTGCCACATATATTTATTATAAGAAATATTACTGTGATGAAAATGGCATAAAATATCGACAAGTTAATGAGTAAGACGCATGTGCTGAATTCCTCTCCAGGCTGAGGGACTGATTACCTCAAATACTATTTCTCCAAGGTTGATACTGATTACATTATCTTCATT